TCCGATCAAAGCAACTAAGCATAAGAAGGATGCGAGGGGCTCATGACCTGAGAATGGGGGGAAGGACCTTTCTCTTGGTGGCTTGAGCCAACAATGCGGCAGTTCTCGTCCCGCACTCCTCGTCCTCCTCGTCCTCGTCCTCGTCCTCGTCCTCGTCCTCGTCCTCGTCCTCCTCCTCCTCCGCTGCTGCTCCTTCCCTGCTGCTCCTCCCCATCCTGCTCCTCCACCGCTGCTGCTGCTGCTGCTGCTCCTCCTCCTCCTCCTCCTCCTTCTCCTCCTCCTCCTCCCCCTAATCTGTGGCCATCGGAATCTGAAGGCATCGGGACGGGTCGGGTCGACCAGCCCCTTGCCTTCCCCCTTAAGCTGTGTTAGTCCTCCTCCTCCTCCTCGTCCACTTCGTCCTCCTAGTCCTCCTCGACCTCCTCGTCCTGCTCGTCCTCGTCCTCCTCGTCCTCCTCCTCCTCCTCCTCCTCCTCCTCGTCCTCCTCCTCCTCCTCCTCGTCCTCCTCCTCGTCGTCCTCGTCCTCGTCCTCCTCGTCCTCGTCCTCGTCCTCCTCGTCCTCGTCCTCGTCCTCCTCGTCCTCCTCGTCCTCCTCCTCCTCAGCCTCCTCCTCCCACTCCTCCTTCACAATTACACCATCTGAATACTACTCTCCTCTCTCCCCCGATAACGTCCGGAAGATGTCTGGCCCCCCTCCGCGTACTTTTTCTTACACAGAGGATTCCCAGAAAATAAGTTCTCAATTGGTTTGTTTCAAAATGTTGTTCCCGCTGAAGCGCTGGTCCCATTTCTGTGCCTCTGGTTGTTCCAAATCGTGCTCCCGCTGCAGCGCGGGCGTTTTCGGTCCTTCCCAATAAGGCCCAAAATCAAGAAAATGCTGCCGCGAAAGAATCGTCGGAAGTGATTACACATTCGGTGTCGAGCCGTTGATTTTTCCCAACCATCCTGTGGTGTTGGGTCCTCGTTTTGAAGAGACGGTCCCCGCGTTCCTCCTTCTCCTCCTTCTCCTCCTCCTCCTTCTCCTCGCCCTCCTCCCTCCTAACCTGCGTTTTTTCGCATGCCTCCCCACTCCCCCATATTTTCGGAATTCGGCGCGAAACCCCTCACACGTTTGTGGTCCCCATAGGCAGCTCCACCGAAGGCCCCAGTGCTAGCGTTCGCCATGCCTCCCCCCACGCACCCATTTCGGGCGGTATTTCGGTCGGCACAGGCACACCCCTCACACGTTTCGTGGCCCCTTAGGGAGCTCCACCGAAGGCCCCAGTGGCTGCGTTCGCATGCCTCCCCACCACCAATTTCGGCACACCCCTCACACGTTTCGTGGCCCCATAGGGAGCTCCACCGAAGGCCCCAGTGGCTGCGTTCGCATGCCTCCCCACCACCCATTTCGGCACACCCCTCACACTTTTCGTGGCCCTATAGGGAGCTCCACCGAAGACCCTAGTGGCTGCGTTCGCATGCCTCCCCGCCACCCATTTTCGGCACACCCTCACACGCTTCGTGCCCCATAGGGAGCTCCACCGAAGGCCCCAGTGTGCTGCGTTTCGCATGCCTCCCAACCACACATTTCGGGCACGAGCCCCCTCACACGTTTCGTGGCCGGCCATAGGCAGCTCCACCGAGGCCACAGTGGCTGCGGTTCGCATGCCTCCCCACCACCAATTTCGGCACACCCTCACAAACGTTTCGTGGCCCCATAAGGAGCTCGCACCACCTTCCCTCAGTGGCTAGCGTTCGGCATTGCCTCCCCGCCACCCATTTCGGGTACACCCCTCACACGCCTTCGTGGCCCCATAGGGAGCTCCACCGAAGGCCCCAGTGGCAAGGTTCGCATGCCTCCCCACCAACCATTTCGGTACACCCCTCACACGTTTCGTGGCCCCATAGGGAGCTCCACCGAAGGCCCCAGTGGCAGGGTCCGCATGCCTCCCCACCACCCATTTCGGCACACCCCTCACACGCTTCGTGGCCCCATAGGGAGCTCCACCGAAGGCCCCAGTGGCAGGGTTCGCGTGCCTCCCCACCACCCATAACGGCACACCCCTCACACGTTTCGTGGCCCCATAGGGAGCTCCACCGAAGGCCCCAGTGGCTGCGTTCGCATGCCTCCCCACCACCCATTTCGGCACACCCCGCCCCTACGCGTTTCGTGGTCCCATAGGGAGCTCCACCGAAGGCCCCAGTGGCTCCCCACCACCAATTTCGGCACACCCCTCACACGTTTCGTGGCCCCATAGGGAGCTCCACCGAAGGCCCCAGTGGCTGCGTTCGCATGCCTCCCACCACCCATTTCGGCACACCCCTCACACGTTTCGTGGCCCCATAGGGAGCTCCACCGAAGGCCCCAGTGGCAGGGTTCGCATGCCTCCCCACCACCCATTTCGGCACACCCCTCACACGTTTCGTGGCCCCATAGGGAGCTCCACCGAAGGCCCCAGTGGCGCGGTGCCTATGAGAAGAGGGGCCTAATTTGCGTGCCCCCTCCTTCGTCTCATATCCGCGCGGCACTCGCAGCTGCATATGGTTGGGTCCTTCGCCAGGCTAATTTCCCAACCATCCTGTGGTGTTGGGTCCTCGTTTTGAAGAGACGGTGCCCCGCGTTCCTCTTCTCCTCCTCCTCCCCCCCTCTCTCCTCCCATCATCATCATCTTCATCTTCATCATCATCATCATCATCATCGTCATCATCATCATCATCATCATCACCATAATCATCATCATCATCATCATCATCATCATCATCATCATCATCATCATCATCATCATCATCATCATCATCATCATCATCATCCTCCTCCTCCTCATCACCACCACCGATTTCGGCACACCCCTCACACGCTTCGTGGCCCCATAGGGAGCTCCACCGAAGGCCCCAGTGGCAGGGTCCGCATGCCTCCCACCACCCATTTCGGCACACCCCTCACACGTTTCGTGGCCCCATAGGGAGCTCCACCGAAGGCCCCAGTGGCAGGGTCCGCATGCCTCCCCACCACCCATTTCGGCACACCCCCTCACACGTTTCGTGGCCCCATAGGGAGCTCCACCGAAGGCCCCAGTGGCAGGGTCCGCATGCCTCCCCACCACCCATTTCGGCACACCCCTCACACGTTTCGTGGCCCCATAGGAGCTCCACCGAAGGCCCCAGTGGCAGGGTCCGCACGTCTCCCCACCACCCATTTCGGCACACCCCTCACACGTTTCGTGGCCCCATAGGGAGCTCCACCGAAGGCCCCAGTGGCTGCGTTCGCATGCCTTCCACCACCCCATTTCGGCACACCCCTCACACGTTTCGTGGCCCCATAGGGAGCTCCACCGAAGGCCCCAGTGGCTGCGTTCGCATGCCTCCCCACCACCCATTTCGGCACACCCCTCACACGTTTCGTGGCCCCATAGGGAGCTCCACCGAAGGCCCCAGTGGCAGGGTCCGCATGCCTCCCCACCACCCATTTCGGCACACCCCTCACACGCTTCGTGGCCCCATAGGAGCTCCACCCCCAGTGGCCGCAACCCAGGCCTCACACGTTCGTGGCCCATAGGGAGCTCCACCGAAGGCCCCAGTGGCAGGGTCCGCATGCCTCCCCACCACCCATTTCGGCACACCCCTCACACGTTTCGTGGCCCCATAGGGAGCTCCACCGAAGGCCCCAGTGGCCTGGTTCGTATGCCTCCCCAACACCCATTTCGGCACATCCCTCACACGTTTCGTGGCCCCATGGGGATTTCCACTGAAGGCCCCAGTGACTGGGTTCGCATGCGCCCCACACCCATTTCGGCACACCCCTCACACGTTTCGTGGCACCATAGGGAGCTCCACCGAAGGCCCCAGTGGCTGCGTTCGCATGCCGCCCCCACACCAATTTCGGCACACCCCTCACACGTTTCGTGGCCCCACAGGGAGCTCCACCGAAGGCCCCAGTGGCTGCGTTCGCATGCCGCCCCCACACCAACTTCGGTGCACCCCTCACACGTTTCGTGGCCCCATAAGGAGCTCCACCGAAGGCCCCAGTGGCAACGTTCGCATGCCGCCCCCACACCCATTTCGGCACACCCCTCAAACGGTTCGTGGCCCCATAGGGAGATCCACCCAAGACGGTACTCACACCAGCATTACTCACAACTGCATATGGTTGGGTCCTTTGCATATTTTTTGGGCGTCAGAAGCCCGCCGCCCACACTTTGGGGCGTCGTCGTTTTCAGGGTTTCTGCTTTGGGAAGGCGATGTTGAAAGCAGACCCAGCGGGTGCTCTCCATCAGCCCCTCCTTGTGTGGAGCTTTTCGGGGAGCTCAAGGAGCTAGACATGGAGCCACGACTCCAGACCGGCCCAGACCTCTCGAAGACGACCCACTTACCCTCCAAGGAACCCGGCGCCATGCCATGACATGCTGTGCAGTGTTGTGTTCTGCGCCGCTGTGCGATGCCATGTTTTGCGTTGCAATGCTTTGTGATGCAATGCTTCACTGCGCGATGCTACGCCATGCTATGGCATGCTACGCTCTGCCGTGCTCGTCTACGCCATGCCATGCCGTGCTCTTCAATGCATCGCGCACTCTCTCGCGATCAGTGCCCTGCTCGACATCCGACTGTGCGAATAGAGAGGATATCTACGCCATGGTAAGGGATGGGATGCGAGGGTGGGGTAGAACGTCAGATATGACGCGAGCGCACCTAGCTTGTCCCCGTCCCCCTCCCCCTCCTCCTCCTCCTCCTCGTCCTCCTCCTCCACCTCCACCTCCACCTCCTCCTCGTCCTCCTCCTCCTCCTCGTCTTCTTCCTCCTCCTCCTCCTCCTCCTCCTCCTCCTCGTCCTCGTCCTCCTCGTCCTCGTCCTCCCCGGCCTCCTCGTCTTCCTCGTCCTCCTCGTCCTCCTCGGCCTCCTCGTCCTCCTCATCCTCCTCGTCCTCCTCGGCCTCCTCGTCCTCCTCGCCGTCCTCGGCCTCCTCGGCCTCCTCGTCGTCGCCCTCCTCCTCGGGAGAGGGCGGGGGGAGGGGGCGGCGCAGCTC